ACCAATTTCACCATTGTGTTGTGCTTCATTTGTGTGTGCATGTGTTTCCTGATAGCATCCTCTGCATCTTTACTTTATAATATGTGTTTATGTTTGTGAGAATTATGGGAGAGGACAATGAAATGAAAACGGAGTCAGCCTGCCCACTTATTCCAAAGTGTGTCACGTTTGATGAATAGAATCGGAACCTTCAACAACATTTTAATTAATGCTCTCTCAGGATTAAGAGAGCAAAGTGACCTGGTTACTAGAACACATTTGTTTGATTTCTAGTACATACTCATATTTGTCAAACTAGACAATCTCTGTTTTTAACTATTCTTGGATAAATTTGAACACAGTGGTTAATGACAATGTGGCATGTAATTGACAAGTTACAACCTCAGTAGAAAAGTGTTTGGAGAATGGATTTTAAACTTGCAACACTCCCCTTTTATTTCCAGAAAGTTTCCAAAATTAATTAGTAAGTATGCCAATCAAACTAGTTGTCTTTTTAGCCATTTTCTTTTAACTATTTAACAATGCTTAGGGAAATAGTAAATTAGGCTAAATCAAATTTTGTGTGTATTTAAAGAGGGAAGGTAAAGAAATCAAGGCCTCTTGTGAAATATAATCACTGTGAACTTAAAAATTTTCCTCTGAAACAACAGCAAGATATTACTACACACTTATAAGGATAATGAAAGTCCAAAACACTGACAACATCACACCCTGGCAATGGTGTGGAGCAATAGGAACATCCGCTCATTGCCGTGGGACTGTACCATGGTACAGCCATTTTGGAAGACCATTTCTCCATTTCTTAGAAAATTAGACTTTGCCTTATCATGTGATTTAGTAGTCATGCTTCTTGGTATTTACTCAAGTAAACTAAAAATTTATACCGCACATAAAGACCTCCACACAGAGGAATATAACTCCTTTCCTCGTAATCACCAAAACTCATAAGCAACCAAGATGTCCCTTCAGCGGGTGAATGGATAAGCTGCAGGATATTTATTCAGCACTAAAGGTAAATGAGTTATCACAACATGAAAAAATATGCTGGAACATTAAATGCACATAGAGCTAAGTGAATAAAACAAATCTGAAAAAGCTACATACTGTATGATTTTAATGTGACATCCTGGAAAAAATGAATCTGTAGAGACATTGAAAAAGAGCAATGGTTGTCAGGAGTTGGGGAGAAATACGGATGCCTAGATAGAACACAGAGGATGTTCCGGACAGTGAAACTATTCTGTACAACACTGAAATGGTAGACCCTTGTCATTACACATTTGTAAAAACCCCTAGAATGTGCAACACTAAGATGTCTAATGTACTCAATATACCTAATGAACTATAACAAGGGGATCTGGTGATAATGACAAGCCAGTGTAGGTTTATTGACTCTAGCTCTCTGGTGGGGGATGTGGACAGTGAGGGAGGCTCTGCATGTTGAGAGCAAGAGGTGTGTTGAAGCTTTGTGAGTTCTGCTTAATTTTTATATGAAGTTAAAATACCCTAAAATATAGTCTTTTTAAAAAATTTTCTCTGTGTTTATGATAAAATTGTGGCTCTTAAATGTACTGTGTTGCAGTTGGTATGTATGTGTGTTTGTATCCATGAATCCCACAACTAGAATAGTAGCTACAGCATCGCAGTTCATGTTAATGTTACGTATAATTGTGGCACACTTAAGTAAAGTACATGTAACCTAATTTATACCCTTAGAATCTTGGCACTTTAAATAGACAGCCCAGTTAAAGATTAACGATTTCCGTTCAGATTTTTCATCAGATAATTGCAGTAGCTTTCAATATTGGGTTTTATTCATATGGTAAATCAAATCACTGAAGTCTTACATTTTCCTCATGCTATAAACACAACATATTTTTGTAAAAGTATGCAAAAGTTGGGCTAGCTTGTGGAGTGCTGGTTAAGGCAGCTGGGTCCCACGTGGTTGACTGTGCAATCCTGGTCCCAGACCTGATGACTTGAAAAGCACACCAGGCACATTCGCATGCCTGCCCAAATCCCAACAGGAAGGATAAATGGAAAAGAGGAGACTACAGTATGACCATCCCCCATGAGGGGCTGCTTTCTCACTTTCCCTCTTTCTCTCTTTCTGTCTCTGATGAGTGCATAGGCTCTCTGGCAAAGTTTAAAAAATGTGAATGTGTTCTATTAGAAATTATTAAATACTTTGAGAAAAAATGGTTCCAATATACATTATAGTATATGAGTAGAATTGAAAGTAAAATGAAAAATATATAGTTTTTATTCTTTGAGTTTCTAAGATTTCAGCTTACATCGGAATTACACTAATCAAATTCTAACAATGTTAAAAAGAGAAAATAAGATTTTAATTCAAATCGACTATATAAAGTCTATTAATCTTTTCATGAGTGAGAGAGACAGAGAAGCACTCCTTCCAAAGTCTGGATACCACGACCCACTCCCTGCACCGCTAGCCCAGATCCTGAGACTGTGCCCAGAGTACTCTGGGAGATCTTTGAGACTCTTTCTTGAAATATATTTTCCTTTCAGCTGCTTCTACATACCTCCTTAAGTTTGTCTATTGCCTCTCCATATGTCTTTCTTTTTTTCTTTTTAAAGAGATTGTTGCTAGAGGGTGTGTGTGTTCACCAGAGAGAGAGAGAGACAGAAAGAAGAAATCACCTCCCAAGGTGGATGTACGTGCTGCAATCCCTTTTCCTCCATACTGCTTTTGAGATCTTGGACAGGCACACACACACACCTGGTGTGAGTTTTAAGCCTCTGGGTCCGAGACTCAAACTGTGGTCGACTATGTGGGAGTCCAGTGATAATAGCCATTAAGTCATCTGCCGGTCCCTTTGAGTTCTTTCTCCATCTGTAACATAAACAGTGATATTTCCGTGCTGCAATCCCTTTTCCTCCATACTGCTTTTGAGATCTTGGACAGGCACACACACACACCTGGTGTGAGTTTTAAGCCTCTGGGTCCGAGACTCAAACTGTGGTCGACTATGTGGGAGTCCAGTGATAATAGCCATTAAGTCATCTGCCGGTCCCTTTGAGTTCTTTCTCCATCTGTAACATAAACAGTGATATTGTGTATAACAAAGCCAAGTCTATCTGTCCTTTGATTTTAGATATTAAACGGTTTTCTTTGTTCAAATCTTGTTTCCCATTGGCCTCTCACAGATATTCTGATCTCTCCATGGCCTGTTCTCCTCAACCCCACCAACACCACTACCCTGCACCCCCTGGCAACCAAGAGAAGTGAAGGGCTTTCAGATCAGGCTTGTTCAGAAGTCAAGGCCAGGCCACCTGAGTGCTCTAAGATCCTTCTATATTCTTTCTGCACATGCTCCCTCCTTCCTGACGTGTGCATACCAACACGTGTGCATGTACACACACATTGGAAGACTCCTTTTGTGCTACTGTCTTAGACACCACCATTGCTGGGTTCTAGGTTTGATTCCTTTTTTCTTTTGTCAGTGAGTTCCTTGCTGTTATGAAAACATTCATATTATTATGCTTTACTGAGAAAAAATTATGCAAAATTGACTTAATCGATGGCACAAAGTTTACATCTTGTTGTGAAAAAGAAATTGACAGGACCGCTAAAGAGATTCCTAAGGGCAGTCATTGCGTTGTCTGAAAATTAAGGTCATCTCTTATCTCTCCAGATGAGATTTCTTTCCGTCTTGTCTTCAAAGAGAATGAAACATCACTTTTTTTTTCACTTTCACACTTCTCAGACTTATATTTAAGCATCTTTAGAAATCTTCTTTTAAAATAGTAGATGCTGAAAGGCCGAATTGTCACAATTGACCACAATTAAGTGTCAGGGTTTTGTTTTTTGTTTTAAAGATTAGAAGAAATCCTCAGCTAACATAATATCTACTGCTTTATTTGCAAATTGCATTATACACTGTATTTTTTAAAACATATCTCATACACATTTGCTGTCAGCAGTATGCCTTTCATTGCATCACACTATTTATAAAGGCATTATTATGGCACAATTTTAAGTAAAATCCTTTGTAAAATAATTATGTGAAGATATTGAAAAAATCATAGTTCTTTTTGAGAGGCATTAAGCCATGCAATTTTTTCCCATTAACTATGATTTTCCCAGTATTGTACATTGATTAGATGGGAGACACTATCTGCAATGCATTGTTCCTTCAGTAACTGTATGTTAGCTGTGGAGATGAAATTCGCAAAATAAAAACTTCAACACTTGAAACAAAAGTATATATCACATTATACATCGAATGCTCTAAAACTGGAGAGCAGTGAGTATAAGAACTATAAGCAAAGACTTTATTAGAGCACTAATAGGAGCTTAGTATCCTCAAAACAACCAGAATTAAAAAAAAATGGAAAACATATACAAGAGGTCTTCAAAGTGTTCATGGAAAATGCATGTTACAAAAAAACTATGCTTGGATTTTAAAATTCCTTTGCACCAAAATAAACTCATGCTTTCATTCATTTTCTTTAAACTTTCTGAGGTTTTCTCCTCTATGAATGTCTTCAAAACAAATTCAAGTATCTAAAACATATTTTAGATTTTAAAATGTGGTAGTCTTTCTGAGCCAGATACATATGAGTTTAAATGAAAAAGCTAACATAATCCAACTCTGTGCCTTCAGCAACTAATTTCACCCCCTTGCACCTCATTTTCTGTACCTATACAACTACCAATATAGAGATGTATAGTGAGGATTAAGGACTGGAGCCAGTAGGAGTTATCATTTCTCTAGGACAACTGGAGCCTCAATGTCTTCCTCACAGAGAAGCCTAACAGGAAATATAATATCAGTGCATTTGACAGAAAGGAAAGTTTATATCCTACCATAGAAATATCCAATCCCTTTCCTTGTACAAGATATAATGTGTACAAAGAGAGAATTATGTACATAGTACGTTATCTATAAAATATCAGCTTCTAAACCTTTAGAAAAGAGAGTATTTCTTTTCAATAATATTGCTTTGAAAATAACTCAGTTCTTTTGTTACAGGAGACAACTGCAAGAACACTGAGTACAGCAAGATGAAAAACATGCTTTTAGATTTACAAAATCAAAAATATATTATGCAAGAAAATGAAAATCCTAATGATGATGACTTATCGCGGAAGAAGCTGTTGGTGGATCAGATGTTTAAATATTTTGATGCAGACAGTAACGGACTTATAGATATTAACGAACTAACTCAGGTATGATGAATTATTCAATTAAACACCTTGTGTAAATGTAGCGTAAATAATATATTTACATTTCTCTGAATTTATAATGATGAACTATGTATTTAATCCATATTATTTACAGTGTAGAAACACAACATTTAAAAAAAGCAAGACTTGACTATTTTATCAGCAATATTATTTTTAAGTAACTTACATGCTATTTTAAAACAAGTTTCTACTTTATCCACTTTTGACAGATTTGTATACCTTAAATAGTTAAAGGAATTACGAGTTTCCTGTCTTGTAATATTTATAAGATCTCTCTTGATATATTCTGAAACCTGGATAATGCAAGGAGATTTCAAAAATTCTGTGGGTTGGGCTGGTGTGGTTGCTCAGCTGTGAAGCCCAGTTTAGGGAGCTAGGTTACACATGACTGGCAGTGGGTTGAGTCCAGGCCCCAGCATCTTGAAAACCGCATTTTTCAAGGAACTGGTTTATTTCATCAAGGTTGTCACATTTGTGGCATAAAATTGTCATGACCTTCTTTATCTACCTTTTATACCCCTAGGATCTTTAGTAATGTCTTGTTGTAGTCTATTTTCTGTTGCGGTAACACAATACCACAGATTGGGTAATTTACAAAGAGAAACACTTATTTAGGATGAGGATCTGGAGGCTGAGAAGCCCAAGTTCAGC